ATTTGGTCTTTTGTTTTTTGCATAGAAGAACTTCCAAGTGCATTCTCAGGACTGCTATATACAGACAAGGAGTAAAAAGTTTGTTCCTGTGTTTCTTAAATCTCCGGTGTAATTCTTTTTCAGTATGTTTATGCATACACCCAGCGTTACCCAGTATGAGTAATCTCACTGGCTTCAATTAGCTGTCCCTTTGCTACTGACCGGCTATGCAGCTCTTCCTTTACACACTTGATGAGTCTTTCTCCAGCTCGCTGCAGTCTACTTGCATCTTCACAAGTCTCCATGCAGCCAGCATAAGTTCCCTTGACAAATTTTAGGGAGGGGTATCCTGTGGAGTCTTTCCTCCTGCATCCTTCATGGAATGTAGGGCTAGAAGGAAACACAAAAGGTCATTCATCTTCCTTGTCTTGGCAGAATTGAAACCATTCATGACAAATATTTCTTCAACCTACCTCTGAAACCTTTTGTAGATGGACCACTGTTTAGAGAGACCATTTCCTTAGGTTGTTTTAAGTGCTTAAGTAGCCTTACTCCTGGAGAAACTGATCTAGCCTGAATTTAGTACAATTTAAACTTGTTTGCATTTTCATCCACAGCAAATGTACCAAAAATATGTCTTGCTGTCCTCTTCATATATCTGTTAACCATTTTCATGTCTCCCCAAGTTTTTGCAGTCTTTCATTGCAGAGTGTGTTTGCAAGACCTCTAATAATTTTTCTTTGCAGGCCTCTCTGCTTCATTACAAATGTAAACTAATGGTTTAACATAATTTATTTCCATGGCTGTTACTTATCTCATTATTTTATAAGCACTTACAAATTTCGTTTTTCACAGTATTGTGAGGTGGAATTGAAGATGAACTGACTCCCCGCCTCCTTTGGTGTCCACACTTTTTAAGAGATGGTGTGAATACAAGTGCTTTGGAGTATTTTATGTAGAGAATTACTAGTTTACTGAGAAGTATTTTTCAAGTCCAGAAAAGATCTTGAAAAGTCTATACATTAATGGAATTAATAGGCATTAATGACCTGCAACAAAGATAATTGATTGACGATTCTCAAAATACAGTTAGGAATAAAAAGTATACCAGATGACTAAATATTACTGCTTGTTTTCATAAGATACTTTACCAAATATAGCATTGTACCTGGGGGTCCTGACCAGTCAGTCCTTGGGGGCTGATGACAGCATGGAGCAAGCATGCATGGACCTGGGTGTCATTGGCTTCCAGGCTAACCGGGCATAGGCAGAAGCTGACTGCTGTTCCTGGTGGCTTTTGCTAGGTGCACTGGCTCTAACTAAACCTCTGGAGAAAATGGAACAGAAAGCCAAAACCACAGGCTTAAGAAAGGAGTTAAACTACAGTAACTTGAACCCTTTCATTTAGAATTGCTGCTGCAGGACTCTTTACGGATACAGACTTTCAAAATACTCCATTACAAAGAGCAGTATCAGTTCAAATACAAATAAAACCAGAATTATATCACTGATCCTTTCATCTTTCTAAGTTGTCTCCTCTTACAAACTATTTGCTGAGTAACACTAACAGCAGAAGGAGATAATCCACAAAATCTTTATGACTTCTGTACATCTTACCACTGACAAAGAAGATTGGAGAAGACAGGCTAGGTGGATATTTGTTTTACAGTATCTGAGAAACAAATGCTGGGTTGTTATGTTTTACTACCTCTACCTTTTTAATAAAATTAATAATCTACCTTCGGTCTTTAAAATAAATTTAAATACTCTTGTCTCTAGTTTATTGCTGTGATCTGCCTATCTTAGACTGGTACCAGCTGCAGCTTTTGGGGTTATCAGAATCATGTCTCCTGAGTAAAATCCTGGGCAGAGGTAGTCACGTCTATGCAATGGGAGGAGGTTAGTGCCCAGCCTGCCAAGTAAGCATTGTCCCAGTATGGTTAAAACCAGGCAATTTCTCTCAGTATGCTGCATCTCTCTTCCAGCACTTGTGCACAGATATCCTCCATATGGAAACAAGGTTACACATGAGGATAGAGTAACGGTGCACATGTCCTTCTAGCCTGACACGGGATTGGGATGTGATGGATATGTGCACCTGGTATTGCCTTTGCACCAGATACTTGTACTGCTATGTCTTCTTAGTTTGACACTTTGCCAATATTAGAACTTAATGGTCCTAAAGTGTGCAAAAATAGAGGCCTCTTTCTTTCTTTTCTTCCTTCCTTCTTTTCTTTCTTCCTTTCTTTCTTTCTTTCTCTCTCTCTTTCTCTTTCTCTCTCTTTTCTCTCTTTCTTTTTTTTTTTCCTCTGAATTTTTCCCTTTAACTGACACAGATTTATTCCCAGGTTTTGCAGACCACTTCTCAATGTTTTTCTCTTTCCTCATGTTAAAAATTGTAAAATATAAATGTGGCAACAGAGCTTCCCCTTTCCCAGGGAATTGTATAATTTGATTTTAGGACCAGGCAAAAGTTTTTCTTATTCTATATAAAATATGAAGGATTTCAGTGATTTAATAGGTATTTTTTTACTTTACTAGGTGACACAATTGATGATCAAAGTAGAGAGTCAAAGAATAAGACTTCGTTTCCGGAGACAAGACCGATGTACAACCAGCCTCCACAGGTAGGAAACCATTTCCTTACGCACACATGATGAAACTTCTTCATTTAAGAAGGATGAATGTCCTGCAGGAGGAGGTTTCAACATATTCACATCTTCCATAGACTGAGTGCCTACTCAGCCTTCTTTGTCATCTGTCATGAAAGAAGCATTGCTAGTAATTAGATGGCAATATTATCAAGGCCACTGATACAGTTTTCAAAAAGAAATAGTAAGAAGGCTGGGCTGTATGATATTGCTGAGTATCTTATTTTTATACGTGAGATGTGCAAGCATGAAACTAGCTAGAATGTTAATGAATTGCACAGAAGCATTAGCGTGGTAAGCAGTGATGGAAAATGTCGAACATTTACATAAGTCATTTATTTCCACAGCTACCATTATAAGTAATATGTTGTAAAAGTGTGAGTATAGTAGACTGTCTTTATTGTGTGTTTGCTTTCTGTTTCAGTACTGTGTAGCTGTAAATCTGGACTTCTTTTTCTTTATCTGCTTTATTTAATATTTAATCGATGTATATCAAAGAGCGCTTTTCAGAATATTTCTGCGTATGATGTACACATATTTTCTTCTCTGCCTCCTCTGAAAATGTTTTTGCAATGAGTATGAGCCTGTTTTCAATTGCCACATAGTTTTAGTTATTTGCAAGATAACTGAGAGACATTTTGCTTGGACATTTTCCTTGTGCTTTTGTGATGATGGGGGATTTTTGCTTAACCTATTCTTTCTCTCTCCCTTTCTCATATCTAGCCTTGGAACTAGCTGTGTCTCTGTCTGTCTCTCTCTTCCCAATGCCATTTTAATATTTATTATTGCTAAGTCCCTTGGTATAGCAGAGGTGTGTGTGATAATGTTGCATCTTTAAGAGTGGTCAACATGTGTCCGTGATCTGTAGTCTTTTTAAATTTCAAATTCAAAACTATGTCTGATACAGAAATCTTTAATTCATCATAAGTAATGAGTGGTTTGTCTTCTGATAACAAATAATCACAAAATTTTAGTCTGACTTCTGAATCCACGCACATCTGAGCCAGGGTGTTTTGCAACTGAAGTCCTGCAATTTTGAGGCAGTGTAATGCATTGATGTTGAGGTTACCTACTGCACAGACATAGTTTCGCTTAATGTGATGTTCTTGCTAGATATTGTGAACTGCCAGTTATTGTAGTGTCAGTGATTTGTTCAGTTCTGTGGAATTTCAGGAAAGTAGGAACTTGTGTAGATTTTAAGTGTTTATGAGTAAGAGGAAAGAAGCAAAGTTTTCAAAATAAAATAGCAGATACTGCAGTGAAAATAAAACAAAGATTTATTTTAACCTTTCTATTAAAAGACTTATACGTCACAAAAATACTTGTATGAACTGACTTGCGACAACATCAGTTAAATTAAGATACAGCATTTGGTAGTATCTAAGTTACTAACTCCAGTCTAGATTTTGGTATTTGGACTTCACGTTTTCTCGAAGGAATTCTCAATTTCTCAAATTAAATAGAGTAACTGAGGATCATGGAAATGAAATGCGTAATTGTGGCCATTAGGAAAGCAATATTCCTGTTGGCAGCGGTGAGTATATTTTTATAAATTTGTGGGAGAACTCTACCAATTTAGCAAAACTAGAAGAGCATTGTATTACATATTCAAGGTGTCAATGAGACATAGAACATTAATTGAAATAATAAACTTGTTAGCATTAAACCAAGAATACTTCATAAACATAGTACAGTGTGTTAAAAGATACTTGTTAGATTGCAAAGTACTGTCTGATATTTGTCATGCAGAGCTGAACAGAAGGGCATTTATTTCTTCACCTGCATCTTTCAATTGCTGGAAACTTGCTTTTATCTTTAAATATAAACTATTTTACAACTTATTAGATGTACACTTTGTGAAACACAGAAAGTGCTTTTAGAAATGTGATTTAAAGAAGAGTGAAGTAATACTTTTTTCATGGGTCACTTCCCTATTCAAAAGGGAAATGAGGTTGAGTTGGATTTTTTTAATAAAGTGTCTTCTGGAGTATTTTTTTGGTAACTGTCGTCATCTTTGGAATTTCCCATTTACTTAGGAACTATTGGATCCGTTTGCTGTAAAATTACTGAATTCTCAAGTACATATTTTTGTATAATCTTGCATAAATTATTTAAATTAATGCACAAATAAAAGCTTATGCCACAACCATCTTGCTCCAACTAGCAACATGTAACAGGACCTCTTGTAACAACTGCCGTACCTGCAGCCTGCGTTATTTTAAGAGGTTTTGATACTGCATGCAGGTTAGAGGAACTGCAGCTATTTAGAAACTTGTTGGAGGAGGGTATTCTCAAAAGCCAGCTTCAGTCCAAATATTTCATCTTCTGCTGCACAGAGTGGGAACAGAAGCTCCTGCCTTGAGCAGTCCCATGTGGAATATCCCCTCCATCTCCACAAGTACGGATGGAGGTTTGGGAGGGTCATCTCCCGATGCCGAGTCAGTCCTAGGGAGACGCATTGTCCGGCAGGGTAATGAGCACCTCATCTGGGCCTCACCAAGCGTGTACGATCCCGCTGAAGTTGCTTCGGGCTCATCAACTAAAAGTCATACGCACATGTAAGTGCTTTTCTGGATAGAGGGCAAAATGCTTAGCACTCTGCAGGGCCGAGAACTTAAATTAGTCTCTTTGTGACTGTGAAATACAAAGCTGCTAATTTTAACTGCAACACCATCATAATAGAAAGAGATATTACAGTTTTATTTTTTCATGCTTGTGAGTTTTCTATTGTTATAGTACAATTTCCAGATAATTCAATCTTTATCTGCTTTCACGGGGAATTTAAGGTTATAGAAAATAACAGAATGGAAAGGTTAGTTTTGATATACGAAGAGTGCTAGGAACCCTAGTAATATGGTGGGGTTATTTTTGATAATGAGCTGTTGCATTGGTAAAGCAAATTATTGCAACCATGTATTTTTGTCCTACTGTGAGAGCAATTATGTAGCATATCTATTAGGAGACATAAAAAATATTTTTGACAGATGGTATGGCTATGAATTAGGTTTTATGAAGATTATTGTATGTCTGGTGTCCAGGACACCTGGGATTATTAAATTGATGTAAGAAACAACAATAAAAAAATTACATTTCTGGTAATAGCTGCAGTGTTTTGTATCTCCCTACTGTCACCTTAAGAAGCAGCTCGTGTTTATTTGATATTGCATTTTTTTATAATCTGACATGTGCTCTTTAGCCAACAGATGTCTGCAGATTTAATGGGTAAAAACTGTACCAGTAAGTGTGTTAAAATAAACTACCAAAAATGAGAGCTGTCTTTAGGTTGTAAATTAAGATTTTTCTCTTGCTATGTATTCTTTTTTTTTCCTTTATGGTCCTATTTTTCCCTCAAATACTTAATAGCTGTTGCATTCTATCTAAGGAGCTTGTTATACTTTTTCTAGGGCAAGAGAGAATCCCCCAAGGGATTGCTTAATCCATAATTATCTAATTTATATGTTGTTGTTATAGCCACTCTTAATTACATACCTTGCTGCTGTGATACTTATCATCATAGGACATAGTTTTCTTTATGAATTGTAATAGTTCTGTTATGGTTCTTGTGCCCCTTCTTTTCATAATTTGCTACTAAAAAATGAGAACATAGCAGATAGAAAGCCCATGTGTCCTGAAGTAAATTTAGAATTATCTATGGTTTTCTGCATAGATACTGGTGTGCACCGTTTGGGGCAAGTATCTAAATAAATTAGAAAAAATATTTTTATATCTGAATTGACAGATAATACCCTCATTAAATTGATCCTTTGTAAAGCTGCTATGGAAGGATTCTGAATAGATGTAAATAACAGTTTCCTAGGCATCTAGCTAGGGGTCATATTAGTCACTTGGAAAGACAGAAGAACTATGAGATATAAAATATCAAGGAAGAGATAATGGAAGTCCCGAGTGCACAGAGTAGGGGAAAAATTAATTTAATTTTCTTTTTACTTTTCTAGAGAAATTGGCAAGTATTGCTGAAGTTGATAGATTTTCAGATACCGTTTTGAGCAGATCACCTGATAAAATTCCAGGGCATGAATAGTGCTAATATTATCTTGTTTTCCTTTAAAAAACATTTAAAAAATTATTCTTCCAGGCCTATTATTGCCCATTTTTTACTAAACTTGGATGTCTGGATTATTTTTACAAGTTACTGGAAAAGGAACTATTGCTGATCATGTCTCTGTTTAGTCACCCAACCATGGAGCTGTTAAAGTGAGTCCAGAGGAGGGACACAAAGATGATCAGAGGGCTGGAGCACCTCTCCTATGAAGACAGGCGAAGAGCATTGGGGTTGCTCAGCCTGGAGAAGAGGAGGCTCTGGGACACCTTATAGCAGCCTTCCAGTACCTAAAGGGGCCTACAGGAAAGATGGTGAGGGACTGTTTACAAGGGTGTGTAGTGACAGGACAAGGGGTAATGGCTTTAAACTGAAGGAGGGTCGATTTAGATTAGCTGTTAGGAAGAAATTCTTTACTGTGAGGGTGGTGAGGCACTGGAACAGGTTGCCCAGAGAAGCTGTGGATGCCCCATCCTGGAAGTGTTCAAGGCCAGGTTGGATGGGGCTTTGGGCAACGTGGGCTAGTGGAGGGGGTCCCTGCCCGTGGCAGGGGGGGTGGGACTAGATGATCTTTAAAGTCCCTTCCAACCCAGGCCAGTCTACGATTCTATGAACTTTTAGTTTATGGGTCAGAGGGTCTCACGTTTAAAATCTTGAGAAGAGTGTTTTAGACTAGATTTATTGCATCATTTTAAATTCCCTACATTTGCTTTAGAGAAGCTGGTTTATATTTCAAAATTATTGGCCAACGTTTGTGATTAGTTTGCTCCATTTTGACAAAATATAGTCTCTATAGAAAATGCTGCTTAGATTGCCTTTTTTTTTTTTAAGCTCTCATAAGCTAGAATTCTAGTCATGACCTGGTTGGATTAATTGCTTGTCATATGTCATATTAACTCCAAGATCTTCTTTTTTCTCATATAAAGCCCTTAAAGCATGTTGGTCCATATTTTCTCTCTTCTTAATCGGGTATGTAAGCAATAATCACTTAATGAAATTATCCACTCTTAGAAGGGACTGGAATAAGACTGTCTGCAGCAAGTCATCAAGCATGTACTTTTCTCTGAATGCTGGTACCGTCAGAAGAAAGATCTTATGTTTTACTCAACTATTGTGTATGATCACATGTGAAATTTTAACATTACCTTTAAAGAAGGATGATTAGTTTTCAGTGCTGGTGGCTGTGATGGATGTCATCTTTCTTAGCTCCCTCTATCCTTTGCATTTATAGGAAATAGTTGGCAGTTCTTTGGGGGAATCTATGTGCAGCCACAGATTGAAAGTGCACGCAAAGTAGAGCTGCTGTATGATAAGAAAGGCACAGTATATGGTTGTGATCTTACTCAGAATGAAGGTAAATAGCCCAGTCAGCTAAAAAAATCAACTATTGCATATTACAACTATTACTATGCAATAGCATATTTACTTTACAAAGCTTCATTATACTGTAATGTTCATATTGCTATCTGTTTGATATTTGACCACAATATTTAAGAGGTCTTTTCTTACTAGGAAGATCTCCGGAATGTATGGACCAGTGGACTTCTGCCTGCCCTTAACAGTTGGGCAACTTAGGGGAGAGGGTCTATGTACATATTATATATAAATATATTTGGTATACATACATATGTAAAATGTAACCAACATGATCATCCATTAGAAAGACTGCTTATGCATGTCACAAAGGATTAGTTTTAACGGCCTCACAAACAACATTTTATAAACTCCGATTTGTGCAATCTGTTGACCAAGGGTCACCAGTAAGACCTGGGAGTGTCTTGTAAGACCGTCACCTTGTAGGGTTTTTCTCAGTTCTAAAGTAAATAGTTAGACATGTTATCTGTGTAATATGACACACAGCTGGGATTATTTCAGATACTTGGTAATCGTAGTAACGTCAAAAATGCTATGACAATTGTCTTTTTCTTAAAGGGAAGCATATTTTTAGACATTGAGAACTGGAGTGGGAATTGAGAGACGTGAATTAACACGGTTGTCACCAACTTCCTCTCTGAACTTATAAACCAGTTCATTTTGAAAAAAATAACGCAGCGCTCTCTTACAAAGCACTTTTCTATAGCACTTTGCAAGTGTGAAATACTGTTGAACCCTTTGTTTAACTTCAGTGGAGATTTCATTACGACAAGAATTGAGGAAGCCTTACAGTCTTTTAAGATGAGGCTTGAATGTCCTGTCTGGCCAGCAAATACATGTAAACACAACAACTGGATTGGAGCATCCTTCCCTCTCACAGCCCTGCCCGTGGAGTCCAGAGTCAGTGCTTTGGTCAGTTGGTACAATTGGTGAGGTTTGAGCAACAGAAGACAAAATCACCTCCACTAGGGAAAGAACGACACGCAAGCATGGTATATTTTCATCATTTAATGCCTATAAATAGGCATATTTACATATGTACATACCTACCTGTAAAAAGTTAATAAAATAGTAGAATTAGCCTGATTGGCAGCCTCTTCATTTTGACATCTATGCTTTAGTAAAGGAACATATACGCCAAATAGTGACCAAGGCACATGTATCCAGAAGCACAATTTGCATACCTCCCTATTTAGTTTGAGCAGAGACTCGCTATATGTTTGACTTAATTGCGTGCTTATTCAGTTACATTGGATGGTTATTTGTAGCAGAAGATGCTCAAATTGGGTGCCCAGATGCTCCCATCACATTTTTTAGCCTTGTTCTAATTTTGGGATCTTCTGACTAGCTTAATCCCCAGATAAAACTACTGATTATCCTGTATCTCTTGCCCAAACACATGCGGTTGCACTAAAAGCCAGTAATGCTGGTTCACTTTGCTGCTGTCAACAAATTGATTGGTCAGTCACCCTGCCTCTGGGAGCAACCCTTCTGGGCTTTCCAAATATTAAAATTGATCTAAAATGCAATGTAGATCATACATCACTTGATGAGACTGTGTGCTAATACAGTCTGATAGTACCGTGATATTCACAACATGATGCATTAGCGTCAAATGGTGGCTGAAAGACTGTAGTATAAGGCAGCTTATTAATAATTACTCTAAACACCAAGTAAGGAAAATAACAATGTCTTTAGGTTAGTTTCACTGCCACTTTCTGAGGAAAAAAAAAAAACCAAACAAAAACCCCGGACCACAAAACCCACCACAAACAGCAGTGGGCAGTCCATTTTAATTGAAAGGAAATATGACATGAAAACTTCCTAATTTTAGACCAAAATGCTAATATTGATATGACAGGAATATGTTTTGCTGTACTTTCTATCAGTGTGGTTTGATCCTTTCACCACAATATGGTACTGCTGTAATTTCTGCCTTAAGAAAATCCCCAAAACTTCACCACTCCTCAATCGTATCAGACTTATGAAAGACTGTGCATTGGGTAGCACATAGTCAAATTTTGTTCTAAAGCACTTTTTAGAAATAGAAGGTAAAATGGAAATTATGTGTTTGTAAATTTCTTTGCTTCCCCAGTATTACAAATTTTACGAATCCTTTTCTATTGTTGTAATGCAATTAGTAGTCCTGCTTAATAAAAACAAATCTATTTTAAAAGCCAAAAAAGTACTCTTCTTCCCTTTCATTATGGTCCAATTATCTTCCTTCCATGGAGAACCAGGAGGCTGAAAGAGGCCACTTTCATTGAAACAGATGACCAATATTTGTTTCCTTTTATTTATTTAATTAATTTATTGGTCCTTTACTGCTTTAAGAGTCAGCATGCTTTTATTCCTGCATCTCAGAAGCCTAAGCGGTAGGCGCTGAGGACAACTCAGTCTTGTTACTGTTCGTAGATTGAAGCTTTGCAAACTCTGGCTCCTGGTAACCTGTTTGCTGAAGGTGCTGTTGACAAGTGCTCCAGCCACAGGCTGTGTATGGAGGAACTTAAAGTCAGATATCCATCCTTCCTGTCTCTTACTGACTTGAATCTCTATGGAGAGAGCAGGTGGAAAGTTATATGAGGAGATACTCGCCTAATTCACTTTTTCGGCAGTGGAATATTTTAAATTTGTAAATAGGACATATTGCTAGTCTTGCCACGTGCTTGGATTTTAAGCAGCATGGTAAAAATCTCAGAACAAAGCACTTAATACAGCAATTTTTATTCACACATCTGCCTGGGAATCCATTTATGTTCTTCAAGACTGAGGAGAGAGACCACTGGAAAGATCCAGGGGTTTAGTTACCTAACAAAACTTCTGAGCACGGCTGGGGATGTTGTTCACAGGTATCGCTGGAGGGAGCTTCACCTGGGTTCAGACTAGTAATTCTTTTCTGTTCACTCTACTTAATTAGCTTTTTTTCTGAATAGCAAATCCAAGATCATTTCCTTTTCCTTTCCTCTTATTGTAGATGCAAATTGTTATCCCTGTGTTTTTCCTCTCACTGATATTAACGTTCTAGGGAGACATTTCACGGATGTTGCTGACTACCTCAATTACTCAAGGAGAGATTTCCTTTTCTTCTTGGAACAATAACTTCTGATCTACGCAGCTTTTCCCAGTTGTTCCAATTTGCTGAAAAATTTATTGACTTTTTTGTGAAACCATGTTTGCTAAATATTTTCTTACTAGTCTTTTATGTTTAATTATCTAAGTTCTTTTCTTAAGTAGACAGTTTCCTTTCCCATTGAAGTCCTTGGATTTTCATACACTTAGTAGAATGAGAGAATGCAGTATTATCCCTCTTTTTTTAGATATTCTGCTCCATGGACATCTACCATCTCAGAGAAACTGTCATCTTTTTCCTGCCATAGCGGGTTACCGTGTTGGAGCTTCTGCAATAGCAGGAGTTGGGAACAAGAGGTAGGGACATGGAGGCAGAGACCCAGTTTGTCTAAGCTTCTCCTATTCAGGACATCAGCTTCCCAAAAAGTATTCAGGATATTTTTTTACTTGGAGCAGTAGAGAGAAAATCAAATCTTGTTGTTACTAACTGCATTGACCAAATGTTGCTGCTAAATTAAAATGGATTATTTGATTACTGTTTATTTCAAGCTGTAATTGAAGTTTTATAGAAAATTAATTTCTTAGTATATTCTCTGGCTATATTGAAAAGTTATCTGAGTTTTGTATTACATCAGGAATGAAGGTAGCAGCAAAATAAATGTGAGTACTTTGTGCTTTTTGGATGACACTGAACTTACAGAACAAATCCATTATCAGCATTTATCAGACTTCTCTATTCATTTTGCAATATATTGACTTGTCCTTCACTTCTGATTTGTGGCTGTGAAGTGCGCTGCTGGATGTCTAGAGCTGCCTGCATTTTCAATTACAGTTCCTCTGGCTTGCAGTTTACTTACTACAGTAATTTTCAGGAACTTTTCAATCTTTCAGCATACGTGCTACAGAAAAAAAAAAATAATCTGGCCTAGTTAGTAACATTTCCTGGCACTGGCAGGAGCAGAACGAGCTGAATGTTGTTCATGTTACTTATTATAATGTATGAGATCTTTGCTATGAATAGCTTGCATAGTACTTCGAAGGAACAGAGGAACTAGATAAACTGTTCTTTTCTCAACCCACACCTCTCTCTTTCTTCTAAGATAATTCTTATCACAATATTCATGTTGCAGAGGGGAACATTGTCCAAAATTCACCTGTTAGGACAGTGCCCTCAGCTCAGGGGCCTCCAGAGAGGCACAGGCAGGCAAAAAGAACAGGAACCCTGCTGGGGGGGGGGG